GAATAAATAGTCGGAAAAAACAAATTTCAGCGAAACGAAATTAATAAATAATTTTTCTGCCTTAAAACGTCCTTGATTTGATGAAAACTATTTTAAGTTCAATACGTACAGTTTGGTTAATTTCTTCTCCCTAAGTATTTCACATTATAAATCTAACCAAACTTATTACCTTTCTAGAAATTGATTTGATCAAAAACTCGAGATAAGATTTACACATTTTGTTAGCTCACGTCTAGTTTAGGGAAGAGTTTCGTCATATATTATCTTGACAGTTATTTCAATCCATGCCGCTAAGAAATAGTAATAAAAAATCTTTTCCACAAAACAAGTGTTTATCTTTTCTTTATATCATCTAAAGCAAGAATCATCTCATAGTGTGAGAAGAAGTAATGAAGAGGTATCTTTGTGTTCTTTATGACTTAAACCCAATAAATTCCTTTTCACCCTATCATTTCGTTGACAAAGAGCTAAAAGTTCTTAGGTTTCTCCTTCAGTCAATTTTCCAAGAAACCTGCGATGAACAAAAATAACAATCAAAATATATTACTTCTATTTCTGCTCAAAGGTTATTTGATGAAACGTTGGTTTAATAAATAATTATCAGAAAATAACTTATTTATTGGATATTTAATTTTTAGTCACGTATTTTTATGTTTTTTACCGAAAATATAAATGTCCATGATAAGAAAATTATTTTAATTTTCTATATTAATGAATATTCTAAATTTGCTTCGTTTTTATCGAGATCATTTCCTTCGAAATGCCTCGAGCAAATTGAACAAAATGCTAATGGGACTTAGATACACATTTTGTCGAAAGCATTAGGCTTAATGCAACATATCGATTACACAGTTGATTAAGGAACACAACATAACGGGAAAGGAGTACGCTTGAATAAGTACACATTTACGTATAGTTTCTAAAGTATATTCACTAATTTTACTATCGCAATTTTATTATTAATATTGCAACCACAACTTTAAGAGTTAAATATCATTTTGACTGGAGTTTAAAAAGAACTAGATTTTTTGTTCCTTTCCAGTAAAAAAGAAAAAAAACTGATTTCGAAGAGAGAAAAAATCACAAATGGTAAGACTGCATGTGAGTCTAGTATAATCTTTATCTATTTTGACATTTTTTTTAATTTTTTTTTCTTGCATTGTACAACTTTCCTACGATTTGCACGTTGCTCAAATTATGCATATACATTGATGATAATAATCATTTTAAATAGAATTTATTGAATCAAGAATAAAATATCACATCATATTTGTGTACATATTTAATGGTGGTCAAAATCATTTTAAATCGAGTTTATTAAATCGAGAATTAAAGATCAATTCATAAATCTTGTTAACATATTAAGTATAAGAAATTTGGCAGTTAGGCAGCAGCAATAAATACCACACAATATATTTTCCAAATATTTCTCACTAACAATTATCCTTTAAATGGGAAAATATATATTTTGCAAGATTATTTGCTTATTGTTCCCAATGGACATGCTGATCATAATACTTATTATTTCATTATTTTTGTTAACCAATAAAGTCGTAAATCTATTATATTTTTATTTTCATTTTTTACTTAAAAATGAAATAATAAGACTTATAATTGTGAAAAAAATAAGACGAAACCTCAATTTTTATTTTTAAAATGAAAATAGTTACACTAAATAGTTTTTATTAAATAATTCACTACTTCGATAGAAACAAGAGTTGAAGTAACACAGAGAAAAAAAAATCTGTGATAATTACTGCATTGTTTGGTAAAGACATTTCTAATAATAATAATACAGTAAAACCTCCAGAAAAGACCACCTCTATGCAGCGACCCCATCTATTTACGATCACTTTTGGGAGGCACAGAATTTTTTCCATAGACTTTGTATTGAAGAAAACCTTTAGCTGAGACCTTCAAAACCTCTCCCAACGACCGGGCAAACCTCTGCACCAAATGAAGAAAAAGTCAAGTAGGGAAACACAAAAAAATATCAAAATAATAAATATTGACCAAACAAAAAAGTATGTTAAAATGTATTCAAAATATTTATGTGAGGCTCTTCTTTAGAGAGCCCTTTTCGATGATCTTTGATAGAGATCTACAACCTCATGTTGCAGTCAAACTGTTCTAAAAACGATGTTATCAATGGTTTATCTTTGGAGTTGAAGTCCCGCAGTGAACTGATCGTTAAGACACGGTTCCCAGCAGATCACCGAAGTCAAGTGTCACTGGCTGTGGTTAGTGTGCGGGTGGGTGACCACTGGGAATAGTCTGCGTAGGGAGCGAGGGTGTGCGGTATTGGTCCTCGCTGAACTGTTCTGCCGTAAAGTGCTCGACTTCGCGAGCTACAGACCGTCGCGATCGGCGGGCTACAGAAGCGGGGGTGCAATCCCCGCTGCAGAGGATCAAAATTGTGATGGCATGTCTTCGGATCATCCTCAGGGATGTTTCGCAGACCGTCGCCAATAGCCCTTTGTGCATTTTAGAAATAACTAAGCAACTCAAACAAACAACCCTCTTCTAGTTTTTACTCATAATAGAAGCAGCAGGGATCATTTTATTGAAGGTAAAATTTATTCATCTATTCGGTTTCCATGACGCCATCACAAGTGGCATTTCCGCCCCTGGAAATTGACCATGACTTAAGTTGAAATAGTTTGCGAAAAACCATGTACCTTTGATAACAGTTTAAAGTCAATGAAGGTAACCCCTAAGAACGACCAACCTCCATTAACGACCGTTTTACTGTGAAACAGAGAGTGAACGCTCCAGAGAGGTTTCACTGTAATAATAAGGAACAATTCTGGTAGTAACGATTTGCTGGAAATTCTGGTTTTCAAAATTGTAGTTCTTATTATCACGTATTTAGTAAAAATACAAATATGAAACGAAATTTTAACTAAATAAATGTTTTTCATGCCATGTTCTAAGGTATCGTAATTAAATAACCCAATTTTACCTCAGTTTCCAATTTTTAGTACATATTATGAAAATTTATTTTTAAATGTACCAAATTCATTACCAAACTTTTGTGTTAAAAGTCACATGCTACTCGATGCTTGCGTTGAGCCAGAAACACTGTAAATTTTATCTTATTCTGATAGTTTTGACTATTTTTCTTTAGTACCTGAATAAAAAATGCCTTGAGTCAAAATATTTTATGATTCAAAATTTAACATAAAAACTTTCTCTTTTCATCCTGAGGATACAAGGAGTTGGAAAGAAAAAGATATTTCCATTCAAAAGTTTTGAAACAGGAACAAGTTTGTTAGGAAACTTGTGAAATTGAATTAAGATAACAGGCATGCTATTTGACTTCCAATCAAATACGTGCTCTGCATCAACAATATCTTTGTCTACGGAAAAGGGATAAAACAGTAATGTACCTTTGTCTTTCAAATTTTTTGATGCAAAAAATGCTTTGTCACTCGAGCATTTCCTAAAAAATATTTACATACCTCATGAAAATTAAGTCAAATGCTTACTCAATCGTGTATTTATTTTGTTTTGCATTCAATAATAAATTTAGAATTATTTTATTAAATTATGCATATTGAATATTTTTCCAAGGTATCTTATGTTAGTTGTTTTTAGAGAGGAATATTTGACTAATGAGACGTTTTTTAATTGTTAAAAGCCAATATTCTACCTGGAAAATAATTAGTAATTGATTGAGTAGTTAAAATCAATTCATTAGTTATTTACTGTTTTTAATTTCCTAATTGGAAATGAACGGATTGGATTAAATACAATTCAATTTTTTAAACGTTGAAATAATTTCATTTATTAATATCATATAATTTTAATAATTTTATTTATTAATTAATAAATTTAAAAAAATATTCAGAACAGATTTGACAGGAAAGTTATATGATTAAATTCCTTCTTGAAAGAATAAGTACCCCTGAATATAACATCCTTATCTAAGTAATACTCCGGAGTATTTCTTTATTGGGAGGTACTACTGTAATTTCCCTCAAGTTTATTCATTTATGTTTAATAAATATTTCATTATGTTTTGTATATTTGAAAAAAAAACATTTGTAGTAAAGATAAATGACTAAATTATCCTTTGAAGGGGATAATTTAGTCATTAGTGATTGAAGGAGGATTGGATACATTTTAAGCTACCCCATCTTTAGCAAAATTAAAGGCACACAAATTGATATATTATAGTTTCAGTTTATTAAACAAGAGTTTTCCTCAGTGACGAAACACAGAATAACAAAAGAAAGGACAAAAAAAATACGTTGACTTAAAGTAAAAAGTGGTTTTACCAATTGGGAAAAATGAACAAGATAATAAAAGAAGGACATAAAAGAACAGTTGTACAACTTTGTTTTTCGACACTGAAGAGGGCTCTCGTTTATTTATTTATTATTATTTTTGCAACGCCAGGAACTGAATTACTCGTTCTTTGCCTCAGAGAATGCTGAATCATTTAAGTTCCCATGGTGGGCTGCACACTGCGTGGATGCCCGTTCATAGGATGGGCCACGTTCATATAACAGAGAGAAACATCCATGACCTGAGCAGGATTCGAACCCACAATCATTGGCTCTGCGACCAAATACACTAACCTCTCGGCCATCTGGCTAGTTGAGGTTCCTGTCTCTAAAACCAAAATAGTTTTGGTTCTAGACTTTATTTACGTTACTTGACTTCATTCACGATTTTTAAGAAATTGTTTTTGGTATATTTTTATGGAATTTTTTTTAATTAAATTAATTCCGTACGCAAATAAATTGTGTAAAGAAATTTTTTTTATGATTTGCAATTTTAGCTACAAGGACAAAAATCAATATAAAAAACATTGTCTATAAAACTTTATTTACAGACATTTTATGCTTTAAAAAAGATCGCAGCCGTAAATATTATGATATACGCTGCTCTTCATAAATTAATTATAATATTATAATCACGATAAAAACAGAATTTGTTTTTGTTTTTAATATAATCGTGTAGCCACAGATTAACAAGTTCATTTTTTGTTACAGGTTTACTACATGAACAGGTGAAAGAGAAGGTTTATATTTAAAAAGAGACGATATCGATGATTATAAGCAGGTGACTGTCTGACCAGTATCGGTATGTTTTCCAAGCTAAAAACAACTCCACAGACTCCCCAAGAGTCCAACCCTATCACGCAATACTTTGAGATTGGAAAACATGTAGCGAGTGCTGGACCAGAACTGGTATGGAAAATACATGAAGCTGTGAGAAAGTCTGATAAAAGAGTGAGTCACATATTTTTTTTTTTTTTTTAGTAAATAGATATTTTTAAGCTATAGAACTCTTTATTTTAACTAATATCATTTTTAATCCCGATTACGAACGAAGGTTTTTACAAGAATGAAAAAAATAGTCACCAGCTACAACGCAATTCATCCATATGTCCATTATATTTCTTTTTATTTCCTGAGTAAAGCAATCCAAGAAAAAACGCAGTGTTTGCATACTCATAGAAGCTAATAATGTCTTAAAAAAGCTTTAAAACAGGATGATAAAATGGAATATAATCGCAGCATAAAAAATAGAAGAAATACCAAATTAAAGTTTTTAAATTGAAAAATTCCTAAATATCGAAATAGTTTTTAACAAGCTTACATCAGAAAACATATGCGACAAGACTGCAAAATATATATTTTTAACTAATTGTTTAACTAATTTAACTGTTTTACTAATTTTAATATTTCACTTTGTAATCGAAAGCCAGATTGAACCTTTTTTGCCACTCTTGTCCTTAATTGCTTTGCAATTAAGAAAAAATGAATTTGGAAAATATTGAGTGTTTCTGACTTTTGATCCGATTTACGTGCTGATTTAATCAGTGATGTAATTTCCTTATAGGAACGTATACCTAGAACCTTATATCTAGAATGACGACTAGAATGATCCCAAAGTCCTTTTGGTAAGTGCCTCAAAACTCCAAGTAGTTTAGGTATAAGGTACCTTTTAGTAAGTACCTCAGTTTCATTAAAAGGAGTATTTCACCATATCTTCAATTGATATTTATGGAGAAAAGGAAACTTAATAATTAAAGAAAGTACTGCATAAGTATAATTGAATAGACAGTGCCCCGTTTAATCAAGTATTTTCGTTAATTAAATGGAATAAAATACCATAGAATGTTGATGATAGTCTCCAATATATTTTTTATCAAATTAATTAAGATTATATTTAAAAAAATTAATGCCTGATTGATCTAAACACGAACAATTTAGTAAGGGCCACACTGGCTCCTTCACATTTTCTAGATATACATTATTCTTTCTTGTGTTAAGCACTAAATTCTCCGATACACATAAAGTTATTTTGTCTTTTTACATCTTAAATATTTCATTAATCTAAAAACTATTGAACTTCTGAAAAGGCACAAAGTAAACTTTTTAAATGAAATAATGCCATATTCTGAAAAATATTTGAATAAATTCAAAATAAAAAGGTATAGCGTGTATCATATTTTTCATTATACTTTGTCATAAATGTTTATTATATATCACTCAGTATTGTTCCCATTATTTTTTCTGTTTGTTCTGGAAAATTATGTCTTCCCTATTTTACACGAACAGTGTTCAATCATTTTCTCATTACTCGTTGCTGCATTAACTGTCAACCGAAGGAAATACTCAACTTGTTTTAGTAATAAAACATTTTATCATATTTTGAAGGTACCTAAAAATTTTGGATGCTTCAATTAGATTGGAAAAATCACCTGTCAGCCATTTTCATAAATCGTTTCCAGCCATCTATTCGTGAAATAAATGCAGAATCTTCAAAATTTTTTGCTTTTTTTCTCAATAGATTAAAATGTGTCAGGGAAGTCTGAAGAAATGTAATTTATTTGGATGAACATTTTTTTAAAGCGGGGAATTTTTTTTATGATCACAAGGAAGTAATTCAGTTCATCAATAAAATTAGAATGTGAAATATAAGTTCAATTTTGAAAATGTCATTTTGGGTATCAGTATGAATATGAGAGAAGACTGTTGTTAATTTATTCTAAAGTTTCTAAAATAAGACTTATTTCTACTGAGTTTGTCATTCAAAATAGGGAAAATAACATTGTTGAAAAATTAAAGAAAATGAACCTACAGTTTTTATTTTAAATTTAAATATGAGTGTCTGTTCATCAATAAAATTAGAATGTGAAATACAAGCTCAATTTTGAAAATTTCATTTTGGGTATCAGTATGTGTATGAACGAATCCTGTTGTTCATTTATTCTGTAGTTTCTGAAATAAGACTTATTTCTACTGAGTTTGTCATTCAAAATAGGGAAAATAACATTGTTGAAAAATTAAAGAAAATTAACCTATAGTTTTTATTTCAAATTTGAAATTGAGTGTCTGTTCATCAATAAAATTAGAACGTGAAATGCAAGTTCAATTTTGAAAATTTTGTTTTGGGTATCAGTATGAGTATGACAGATGTCTGTTGTTAATTTATTCTAAAGTTTCAAAAATAAAACTTATATTTATGGAGTTTGTCACTCAAAATGGTAAAGATAACATTGTTGAAAATTCAAAAGGAATGAACCTATATTTTTTATTTTAAATTGCGTGTTAGAAGATGATAAAACTGTTTTATTTGATTTTAAAGTCAAATAGACAAATATAATTAATTTCTCAATTTTTCTGGCGAATCTATATGCTCATAAGTACTAAGATAAAAAAAAAGGAAGAAATACATTGTAATTATTTTTCTGGAATATGGAAAATTTAATTAAATAATATAATATAATACAGGAGCTATTTATTATTGTACTTTTCTCCTTTAAATGTATTATATATCATGTATAAAATGATAAAAAGTATTATCTTTGATCTATAATTATTCATATTACTTATAAAAAAGAGCAACAAATCAAGTAACTGTTTCAATCAAGAGCATTACGTTTTCCAAAAAGTTAGAATTTTTAACCTAATATTGAAATTATGTAATAAACATACGAATTTCAATGTTTAAAAAAAATAACTTCAAAGAGTCATTTTAATTTTTATCAAAATACCTGTAATTTGTTTGATTCCTTTGAATTTTAAAGAAGTTAGAAGTCTTTGTATATTAAAATAAATCAAATTGTATATACAGAAAATCATTAACAGTAGCTTCAACCATTATTTTATAGTATAATAATAAATTTATGTATATATATGATACAAAATTTTAGTTTAATGATGTGCTTTTATGATTAAAATATGGAAATAATTCTGTTTTAATCCTCTTATGAACATTTTTTTTCCTTTAACGTTTTTGCATTTTGTTTTTGTAACATTATGTTAGCATCAATCTTTACTCAGCATTATTTTGAAGAAGGATTATAGCTTACGAACTAAACAAATGGATACTTAAGTATAATTATAACTATAATTAAGGACATGTAAGTACATAAGATCTCTTGACTGTTATCAATTTAGAAAATGTCTAAAATTTCTAACAACTGACTCTTTCTAACAAAGCTCTAAATAAAATATTTAGATGCAATCATTTTAATATAAGAATACGAGTATGCCTACCAATTCTTTATCTTATTCTTAGCAATAAAATTCTTAAATGAACAAAAGTCAATGGTATAAATTTAATTTTCTAAGTTTGCGCAGAAGGGCCACAAATACTAGATGAGTATCTTTAAATGAAAATTCAAAAATGAATAACTGTCCCTTTGTTCTAAAATATAATTCGGCGAGTCACAAAATGGATTGATTACTATGAAATTCGATTTTATTGACGATTCAACTCTATTTAAACGAATCCATTTCCATGTTCCTCTTGAAAATTCATTCAAATAAAATAGTATTTCAAATGGGCTAATAAATGAGATTCATTATAGCAGTAGTTCTGAATTCGAATGTGCACATAAATGAGATTTATTGTAACGGTAGACGGTAGTAAGTCATAAATTCCTGGATTAAGTTTATATTGTTTTGAATAGTTTATATTTGCGTAAACTGAAACTATATCTTGTACAAAACTATGATTTTAAATTGTAAATAAGAACTAGTTGCTACTGACATCTGCTTAGAAGATGTAATAACATTTTTTTTAAATAATCTAACGTATTCTTTTAGAAATATACAGAAGGAAAGTTTTGATTTTCGTTTTTTTTTTTGTGTGGAGAAAATTAGATTATGTTTTTCATATTTTAGAAAATATGTTCATAAAGAGTATTGCTTTTTTTTAATTTGCATAAAGTGGTACTTAAATCATTAACAATGAAATAATTAGAAACACTAGTTTAAAATCGTTAAGTTAGTCTTGTTGAACTAAAATAGGAGTTTATATTATTATTGCACTCTCCGTAACTCATTGCAATGATCTTAATTTTAAAAATAAAAAGAGACATGTTTCATTTCAATTTTAAAGAATTGAAAATAGCAAATTGAATCTCTTAAAAAACAAATTCGATAGGTAAATGGATAACAAAAGTTTGAAAACTTTTAAATATCATTTATTTTTTTCCACATAAATCAGGTCCTTGCAGTGCCCATAATTTCTAGTTATTACAAATATAAAAAGGAGATAATGCGGAAATAGAACAAGAAAATTAAAAAAAAAAAGAATTAAAAAAATTTAGTAAAAAATAATTTAAAAATGATATGAATAAAATATTTCTCCTGTATAATATTTTTTACAATAATAACAAAAATTCTTGCATAAATATATTTTAATGTATAAATATTGGATATAATACTTTGATGGAATTGCCGAAGACATTACTGAATATAGTTTTAAAATCTTCAGATGCGTTTATGTCGAAACAATATATATACATTTTTCTTCTGCCTAAAATATGAGGATTAAAAATATTTGCAAAAATTTTAGACTGATTAATATTAAAATATGCCAAAATAAATGCTCCATAAAAAGTTTATTAAATAGCATAATTTATACAAAATATGAACAAGCAGATAGGGGTGTTGAAATTATTATAGCTTAATTTGTGTTAAAATATGAAAAGGGTACTTTTTCTTAGAAACTGTAATTTTATCGAAACTTTCCTAAATCTTTACTGTAACTTAAATAAATATAAAGTTAGGTAAGGATACTCAAGACAGTGCATATTTCTTTCTTGTTAAAATAAATATACATTAGAGTCAATATATTGTATTTAGTTACAGCAATATTGAATAAGAGACTTTATTTGATTCACATTTTAAACAAACAATCTTTTCAAATTAATGTTCGAAAAAGCAATTATATTCTTTATTAATTAGTTTTTGTTATTAATTTTTGATAA